CCGAACAAAACATTAAAAAGACTTAAAGTCTTTATCGGTTTTGACGCTGTTCGTTTTTCTCGGGAATGGGGCATAAATACATTTTCCAAAGTTTCGACGGCTAATTGATTTTCACCAGAGACGCGTTGGAACAGAACTAAAATTTGCGCTCATATTTCAATGAAACATTTAAACGGAGCAATTTCAAAAAACCTTAAATGTGCGTGCATTGATAGCAGGCTAAGATGAATTTTCACAAATGAACTCAATGCACTGACAAAATTTAGATAAAACAAAGTTTACCAATACGTTTTTAAACACTCGAAACTAGTCTGGAGCAAAAACTCACAGAACACCAAAGTACCTACCATTTAAAGACTTTTTTCGAGTTTAGGAGCAGCAATATGAGCAACCGGCAGTAGCAAAACTGGCCTACACCGGCTAAAGCTAAATTGGCTCACGGTTGTGCGACTCGTAACAAATGTTAAAGGCAAGGGGTTCTGTGATCGCTTTTTGATAATTTTGTTTCCTCCCTTACGTTGATTATTTTATAACAATTGCCGCATATTCCCATATAAAAAAAATCAATTTTTGCTTACGTTTTTCTGATTGTAAATAATTCCAAAAAATTCAACTTGATGAGACTTAATGTGCCATTAGATCTAGATGCTGTTTGTTTTTCTCGGGAACAAAGCAAAATTACATTTTTTTTAAGTTATATTTTTGAATTGTGAATTTTTTGTGAATAAACACTCCTCCAAAAAACAAAGATAGGCTATGAATCTAGCTGTAAACTTGAAACTTGGCTAGTTTTTTTTTGCGGCAACGCTAACTTTCTTGGATTCTAAAATAAATCAAATGAGCGTCTCGAGACGTGTAATGCCTAGCCAATATGAAAAGAAAAACCTCTCTTGGAGCTTATTTATTTATTTCTAAATTGATATTCGGTCAAACACGTTAATGGTTTTTAGCTTTATCTTAATTCAGAATTTTCACTATTCTCGTTTTTCCTTAGTAATACTTCATTTGCTGTTTATGACCATAACGTTGTTAACACTCGATTTTTGATCGATTAAAAAAGCCACATTAACAACAATCTTGTCATGAACAGCAGTTTATCATATTTCTTATTTTTAATTCAACAATGCTTTTGTTAAAATGATTGCTGTTTGACTACTTAAAACCATCCACTCCAAGTTAGCAGGCTGCTTTACAAGTGGCCGATGATGTTCCAAGTACATTATTTAAACGAAAAAAGAAAACTGTGTCGAAAATACTGAAAATGAATGAACCTTTTTGTCCTGCTTTTTAGTTCGCAAAGATCTTTAAACGTTTTTCCGGCAAAGAAGCAGCTCAATTAGGGAATAGGTTGTCAGAAAGAAAAGTTATAATATCTACACTAACCTCCAAACTGCAATAGATTTATAAAGAAGATTGTGACAGAAACTATGAAAATCCTGTTGAGTTAGTCTGAAACGGAGTAGTTTGATGCTGAATAAAGTTTCTGATTTTTATTTTCGAATTCAAATCTCAACTCAAAGTTGCTTCACCATAATTTCTTCCCATGCGCATCTAGGGGATGTTTTTGAATAAAGTTTGCTTTTATTCGGCAATTTGGTGTTTTTCATGTTCTCGGCCAAAAAAACTGATAGTCCATACACATGATCAACTGAGATTTTTTATCGAACTCGACTAATATTGGATATGTCTCGACTACTTTGATTTTCTCGAACGAAAATAAATTAGTGCACTCTAACTCGATCTAGCTAAAATATGTATTTATGGACTCAAACAAAAGTTAGTATTTTTGAAATGTTTTGATTTTTCGACCGAAAAAATTGGACTCATTTGGGACTAGTCAGTTAAAAAAACTCTCTTCAGTTCTGCTAATATGATGGAAATTTCGAGTTTCAAGTTGATTTTGTTGTATCGTCCATTGAAAATTTTGTATCCGTGAATATTTTTTTCCACGCAAAATCAAGTATCACAAATAATTTTCCGGGTGGGTCGAGTGATACACCATTTTACTTGCGACTAGCGAGCAGGCTTTTATTACGGAAAAAAGCGTAAAAACATAGTGTTTATACATAAATTTTGGCCAAAACTTGTTGTCAAATATGCGTAATAAAAGTTCAGCATCTATTGATTTTTTCTGAGCTTTTGTTCAAATAAATTCTTAGCCAGAAAAATAAAAAATACGGCACATTTTTCTTGTTCACGTTATTTTTGCAATCAGCTAGGATACAGGGTTGAAACACTGACAAATTTTAGATGAAATTATTCGAAGGATGCATGCCAGCAGCATCAAGGCTTGCGAAACCGTGTAAAATAGATAGTATATTATAACAAGACTGCTCGTATCAGGGCGAAGCCCTGAATGTTCCGACTACCTTTTAAGGTTTATGGAGCAGCAGTAATAACATTAAAAAATTTGAATGAAATAAAATAAAACGAAATTTTTTTTTTCTAAAATTTGAAATTTTTTATGAAAATCATCCCCCCACACGCCATATAAAGCGCAAAAAGATATATTTCGTTCCTTGTAACAAATCAATTTTTGCAAATAAGTTTCGTTCAACCAATTTGGAACGATTTATAAGACGGATTAAATCTCCGCTTACGCGTTAACAGCGCGAATTGTATTGCGCGTTAATTGTCCCAAATTGGTCAAAATGGCCAAAATGGAAACCTTTAACCCCTCATAACTTTACAAAAAATGATAACAGATGAAATATCTTTTCAAATTTAAGCTCAGAACAACAATACATTTTGATTGATATAAAAAAAATTCCGTCAAAAATGGCTAGTTAAAAAGTCGAAATTTGTCTGAAGAAAAAAACCCAACCCGAGCACAAATATTCCGTTACTTTCGTATCGAAAGTCGGAACAACAAGTCTGCTCGTATCAGGGCGAAGCCCTGAATGTTCCGACTGCCTTTTAATGTTTATTGAGCAGCAGTAATACATAAAAAAAATTAAATGAAATAAAATAAAATGAAATTTTTTTTTCTAAATTTTGAAATTTTTTATGAAAATCATCCCCCCACACGCCATATAAAGCGCAAAAAGATATATTTCGTTCCTTGTAACAAATCAATTTTTGCAAATAAGTTTCGTTCAACCAATTTGGAACGATTTATAAGACGGATTAAATCTCCGCTTACGCGTTAACAGCGCGAATTGTATTGCGCGTTAATTGTCCCAAATTGGTCAAAATGGCCAAAATGGAAACCTTTAACCCCTCATAACTTTACAAAAAATGATAACAGATGAAATATCTTTTCAAATTTAAGCTCAGAACAACAATACATTTTGATTGATATAAAAAAAATTCCGTCAAAAATGGCTAGTTAAAAAGTCGAAATTTGTCTGAAGAAAAAAACCCAACCCGAGCACAAATATTCCGTTACTTTCGTATCGAAAGTCGGAACAACAAGTCTGCTCGTATCAGGGCGAAGCCCTGAATGTTCCGACTGCCTTTTAAGGTTTATTGAGCAGCAGTAATACATAAAAAAAATTAAATGAAATAAAATAAAATGAAATTTTTTTTTCTAAATTTTGAAATTTTTTATGAAAATCATCCCCCCACACGCCATATAAAGCGCAAAAAGATATATTTCGTTCCTTGTAACAAATCAATTATTGCAAATAAGTTTCGTTCAACCAATTTGGAACGATTTATAAGACGGATTAAATCTCCGCTTACGCGTTAACAGCGCTAATTGTATTGCGCGCGAATTGTATTGCGCGTTAATTGTCCCAAATTGGTCAAAATGGCCAAAATGGAAACATTTAACCCCTAATAACTTTACAAAAAATGATAACAGATGAAATATCTTTTCAAATTTAAGCTCAGGACAACAATACCTTTTGAAAGATATAAAAAAAAAATCCGTCAAAAATGGCTAGTTAAAAAGTCGAAATTTGTCTGAAGAAAAAAAAAAACCCACCCCGAGCACAAATATTCCGTTACTTTCGTATCGAAAGTCGGAACAACTAGTTTTAGAGGTGTTCTAAATTTGGAACATCCTCGCAGAGAACAATAAAACAACAGAATTATTGGGCTCAAACTGGTTCGTTGGGAAGCTGCTGAGCTCGATTTACTCCGCGGAATATTGAAAAATTGAAAAATAATGAAAAAATGAAAAACTTCTCAGGGCCGCATTAAAAAAAAACAATTTTTTGTCGCGGAGGGCCAAAACAAGCCAATAAAACAACTCTTTCACCAAACAATTTGCAATATTTACTGCTTAATATTTTATGATCCTGTAAAAAAAATGCATGCAAATAAATTATTTTCATTTTTAAGATGAATTTTCAGGCTTTTTCCAAAGTGTTTTTTTTTATCTTTGATACTAACTTTTTGATTTTTTGTTGTTAATTTTTGATGATAAGTATTCTTTGTAAGACAATTTTTAATCATTGAAACAGAACTGCAAAAAAGCACCAGAAAAAAGGAAATCAACAACACAGCGCCAAAACAAAACATATGAAGGAACCAAATGACGAAAATGATACTGATTAGTTTTATTTCCTCTTTTTTCTTCGACTTCTACTCAATTCCCTGCGTAAAAAATTTTTACAACCCAAACTTAGAACCATCATTTTTGTGTGGCACAGAGTGTTAATACAATTTTTATCTAGAAATGTACTGCACTTCAAGATGCGAATAAACCGATACCCCTGATTAAGTGCTTCCTCATATTGAACTGAACTCTATTTAGGCAACAAAATGGGCAATTTACAGACCATGAAATGCCAGTGCTTTATTTCTATATATAAGCAACAACTAGTGAAAAAAGCTTAGAGATATGTTGCGGAAAAGTTTAAATACATCTTCAAATCTTCAAACATTTTTCTAAATAAGAAAAAACTAGCAATTGAACTAGAGATCTGCATTTTGGAGATTATAATTTTTGTTATTTAGTACCCTTTTTGACATGAAGAGCTTTTAAAACACACACTGTGCCACACTTTTGTTCAATTGAAAGTATCAAACTGTGATATCTGCCTAAGAGTTAGTTCGATTTTGTCAATTCTCTCTACTTTTATAATAAGAATAATTGCCATAAAAAAATCAAAAAATAGTCAAGGGATAAAATTTGGCAAACTGTGTTGGGATATAAACTAGAGAACCGCCTTCTAGATTTTCTGTTATGTTTTGTTATAAAAAATATTCTTCTAATCTTATCAAGTTGACTTGAGAGCATTTAAAAAACAGGCTGTGCCGCATATGTTCATTTAAAAGTAACCAACATACAGCGTTCTCTTTGTTATCTTTCAAGTTAGCTCTAACACTAGTTGTCAAAAAATTTAGGAAAAAACTATAAGACGAAAAGTTGGATCCGTCAAAAGGTAACTCTTCCTACTTACTTATCTTAAGAAACAAATTGATTTTAGCGACGTGTGAAATTATAAGTTTTAGGCAAGAAATAAAAACAACTCGAAAACAACTGCTCGGATTTTTTTATGCAGTTGTTGATGAATGAAATGATTGTCCTAAAAAGTTGAAAAATTGCTTCGATGTTCTTGCGAAAAAAATTAATTTGAAAATGTCGGCAAAAAAACTTTAGACCTTTCCAACTCCAGGTATAACGGTGATTGTTTTTTCGACAATTTTCAATGGCAACAAAGTTTAGCATATCGAACTCTGTTTAGCAGAGTTCGATATGCTAAATTTAGCATGATGAAAAATTCTCAGAAGGTGAACAACAGATCGATCGTTAAACAACAAACGGGAAAAAAATCAACGAATCCAGAGTTTTGGCCCTAAGTGCTTCGTTTTTATCCCTGAAAGGCATAAACAAAGCGGAAGTTTTTTCGTATTTCACTCTGTTTGCATACAATTTTCAGCGGATTGATAAAATTTTACATGAGCGGACTTCCTAAAATTTTTGACTTCAGGCCTTCCATAGGTTAATTTTCCAACAGTTGCTTCATATAGCCGCTTTTTTTTCATTGAACAATTTTTCAGGGTCTAGGAGTATTGTACTTTACCAGAATCTTTTCATCATTACTGTTATTCGGAAGCAAAGCCATGACAAAAAGTGTGAAAGCAATACTTCTAGAGGTAGTATTCATCTGTCTCATTTCAATTTCACTTCAATATGACTGCCCCGCCACCATGGAAAAAGTAGAAGGAGCAGCAGAAGATAGTTGCTACAAGTTGCTGGATTTGGGCAGAATGGAGTACCCGAGTGCGAGCTTGTTTTGTCAGGTGTCGATAACTTCAGGGCAGTGAAATCTATAGAAAGAACTTGTAAATTCAAAAAAAACTAAACAAAATAACAAGGAAAGCCGATTGCTGTGCAACTAGCACAAGGATGTTCTGACCATACTCCTAAGAAAGCTACAACAAAATTTTTTTTTTTCTATTTTTCTCAAACTATTGTTGTTTTTTGTCCATGGTGAAATGAACCGATCTTAGCAAAATTTACAATTTTAGCATATTTGACATTCATAGTCAAACAGGCGAATAAGTTAACATTTTTGTCATAAAAGGCAAAAATTAACTTTTATAAAATCAAAAAAAAATACAAAAAAATTACAAGGAAGGCGCCAAAAAGCTTCAAAAATTGTTGTTGCTGTTGAAATTGTTGAGGTGTAAATAAAATTTCACGGTTTCTATTTCTATGTTAAACTTGCTCGTTTGCTATCATTGCTCAAAATTCAACCAAAAAATCAAAATTTTGAACCAGTTTTTCTCATTACTGGGACAGATTTTTAAAAAGTTTTTAGGTCGTTAAAATCACGACTGAAAAAATCACGAATGAAAAAAAACATGATATATCACTCGTTTGATGTAGATGATTATCCGCGGAATCTGGTTTTGCCTGAAAAACAAATTAGTTTTGCTTGCTCGCCATATTCGCTCGAGATTACACGAAAAATCAAAAACATCATACTTGTCTTTTTTCGACACTGAGACAATTTTTTGGATTTTTTTGTCGTTTCATTCACAACTGAAAAGGCTTCAATATCTTTTATTAGTCAAACCGAACTGAAAATTTTTTGTGGTTACCAATTTTTGCATGGAAAAGATCAAAAACTAAAATACCTCCGAGTACAAAATTTCTCCCCATTTGCAATGGTCGGAACAAAATGTTTCAGTCTTCTTCCATAAATTTATTGAAAACATGAATGGCAAATTCTTTAAAAGCTAAATCACAATCAGCTTTGAACAGAAAATGCAACAAAAACCCCAAAAAAATCTCATAAGGAGTGTTTGTGCATGAGAAATTTATATATCCAGAAAAAAAAATGAACGCCCATACGATGTTTTTCAATTAAACTGTAGTATTTGTGTTCAGATTATTGATCCGATGTTGTTTTAGCTCAGTTTTTCCTTTTAAATGAGTTGAAAAACAGATAAATATTGAATTTATTGAATTGATTCTTTAAATGGACATCACTCTCTTACAGAGGGTGGAGCTCCACAAGTTGTGATTCCGAAGAATCTTGGGGAACTGCAGGTAAGCATCAATGTTTAATACTTAATCAATGCGTATTTTTAATTTGCTTTCAAGCAAAAAAGCAAAAAAAAATTTAAAAATGGCCTGTCAGGCCTATCTAAGACAAAAATGCACATATGCAAGCAAAAATTGTTGTTGCTGTTGAAATTGTTGGGACGTAAATAAAATTTCACGGCTTCTATTTCTATGTTGAACTTGCTCGTTTGCTTTAATAGTTCGAAATTCAACCAAAAGTTCAAAATTTTAAACCAATTTTTCTCATTACTGGGACAGATTTTTAAAAAGTTTTTAGATCGTTCAAATCACGACTGAAAAAATTTCAACATGATATATCACTCGTTTGATGTAGATGATTATCCGCGGAACCTGGTTTTGCTTAAAAAACAAATTTGTTTTGCTTGCTCGCCATATTCACTCGAGATTACACGAAAAGTCAAAAATATCACACTTGTCTTTTTTTGACACTGACACAACTTTTTGGATTTTTTTTGTCGTTTCATTCACAACTGAAAAGGCTTCAATATCTTTTACTAGTCGACCCGAACTGAAAATTTTTTGTGGTAACCAATTTTTGCATGGAAAAGATTAAAAACTAAAATACCTCCGAGTACAAATTTTCTCCCCTTTTGCAATGGTCGGAACAAAATGTTTCAGTCTTCATCCATAAATTTGTTGAAAACCAGAATGGGGGGAAACATACTTCGGTAGTCTCCAATTTGAGACTTTGCTGATTACCTGCTAGTAGCTGGCAGAAATTTGAAAGAAATCAAAAAAAGCAAAAATTGAGTCCGAATCATTGATTTTTCAAGTCTGAAATAACCAATAATAACTAAATTTCAGATCTGAAATTATATCTGAAATAGATTTTTTCAGATCTGAAATAACCAAGAAAAAGAAAATTTCAGACCTGAAATTAGATCTGAAATAACCAATCCCTAAAGTATACAAGCGTTATTTAAACATTTCACAACCTATTTCAGATCTGAAGTTTAGATCTGAAAAAGATTATTTCAGATCTGTTTTAGAAAATTTACTGGGTACAGGAGGTGGAAATTTCCCTTAACAACATATGCTTACGACAAAAGAATGGAGAGTATTTACTTTACAGCTGCCATTTTTGCAGTAGGCAGAAGAATTGCTAAAACCTGGTGGCATTTTTCTTTCAGATGTTTTTGTTCACGCATGTTTTTTAGATTTATTAAATTTCACAAACGAATTTAGCTAAGTTAAACAATAACCAAACAAAAAAACTGAACAGAAATTGTTCAAAAATTTACCAGTATTTGTATATTGCAATTGGTTTTTCAAAAATTCAAGCCGCAAATACACTCCCTAAAGTGGGTCAATTCTTTTAATTTTGGAGGGAAACAGGGTCCTTTTTTGCACTCCTGGGACCATTTTATAGATTACTGATTTTCAGATGTTATTGATATCAATTACAGTCCAAAAAAACGACAACAGCTGTTTAGAGAACAAATGCTTCACATTGTCTTTGAAACGAGACTGCACACAATTTTTCAAGAACAGTTCTGAAACAGAAAAAAATAGCTTAAATGCAAAAGGGTATGCATTAGTACAACTTGAGTTATTGTTCCGACTTTCGAATAAAACAGAATATTTATGCTCAGTGCGGTTTTTTTATTCAGTCAAATTTCACCGGTCCAAATAATAATTTTCAACAGAAGTTTTTATACCCATTGAAGATATCGACTTCGTGAGTTCAGATTAAAAAAGATATTTTGGGGGTTCTGGGGGTTTGAAAATTGCCAAAGTTTCCATGTACTGGGCTAATTTATGCGCGCTTTGAAGAATTTATTCATAAAGCTGAGAGCGTAACGCGAATTATTTATGCGTGGCGAATTATCCCGCGCAACAAAATCGTTCCAAATTGAATTGAGGCCTGCTAATTGGTTGTATTAATTTCGTACGACTCAAAATTTTACATTTTGATATTGTCCAAAACGTATAGGTTTTCAATATTTTCTTTTCCCAAAGACTATTCGATATGAACTAAGGGATAGTCGGAATAAGGGCTGTGCCCTGATCACGAGCAGTCTTGTTTTGCATAAAGCAAAGTACTTAATAGACCAATAGGCATCAATTCGTTTTGAAACAGTTTCTATTACGGATCAAATCTCCGTTTAGGCGTTAATACCATGGTAAATATTTTATGTTAATTGCCCCATTTTGGTCAATAAAGCTTTTTTCAAAAACTCATAACTTTACAAAACTTTACAAGAAAATTTGTTATTTATTTGAGCTCAAGTCGTCAGAATTGGTCAAAAATTGCTAGTTAAATGTCATTGATTTCGATAGTTTGACTTGAAAATTTAAAAGCTTGTCTGAACAATGTAAAACGTCAGCTAAATATTTTAATAATTGCATTATGTTTGTTTAAACTGCTCTTTTAATCCGTTAGTTTCTTAAAAATATACTACAGAAAGGCTGTCGGATCATAAAGGGTTATACCTTGATATACGTGCAATCTAATCGCAGATATAATGTCACAAATTTTTTGGTGCGGCTTTGAGCAATTTGCTCCAAAGCATGGGACATTACCAACTAAAGCCCTAAAGCAATAAATGAGCCTAAGACTTTTTAGAAACGCAATTTCTGATGTTTCTAATGCAACACTGTTTTTTGTTAACAGGCACTGGTAAATTATGTTCTTTCCAAGGGCATATCAACAACAGGGCAGTCCGGCTTCTGGGTCAACTACCGAAGGGATGAACCAGCTCCCTTGGAAGAAGACGGAACCTTGTCTTCCAATATGTCAATGATCCGAAAAGACCGCTCGCAATTCGTCGACCGAATCCAACTCAAGGCTAGCTTAGTCATCATTTGAACAATGGAAAAGTGTCTTGTTTTTGACTCGCATCCATACATAGAGAACAGTTTAAGTGAACAGCCTTCAAGAAAAGAGTTAGATACTGACATCGCATTAGAATACATCATCTTAAGGCTGATTAAGGGGGCTTTAGTCTGCATTGTAGCTCTAATGAAAAATATACTCTGCGGCAGGGGCGGATCTAGGATTTTCTCGATGGGGGGGGGGGGCGGATTTTCAAAAAAAAAAAATCGAAAATTTAGACGACCTTTTTTTTAGGTCGACCAAATTGATTTTTCGAGCTCTCCCAAAGCACTGTTTTGCCCCTATTTAGGCCAAATTTTCTGCGCCGCAGGCAAATTTTTGAAAAAACAGTCAAAAAAGCCGTTTTTGGGCACTTTTTGAAAAATTTTGACAAAAAAAATCGCGTTTACATTGGCGCCAAAATTTTAAGGTCGGTCGGCCAAAAATGGATTTCTGAAAAAGTATCAAAGGTGGGACCGTTTGGGTCGGCAGGGGGTCGAATCCCTGAGGGGGGGGGGGGAGCGTCCGCTCCCCGCCCCCCTAAATCCGCCCCTGCTCTGGTGCAAACATTTATGAGCTTTTCTGATGCGTTCGTTTCACATATGGTTCAATTACTTTGTAAAAAACGTAAGGTTGTCAAACGAATAATTTAGTTTAAAAACATAAATGGGATGGATATATCGGTTATTGTTGGTGTTACTTGAATCAAGAACATTCGACTGATGTGCCACCAGGTTTGAGGGGAATCCGGGAAATGTCCCATCGTCCCACTTGACACCGCTAGCAATTCCAGATATAAAAAATTGAAACAAGTTACTGTGTCAATTTTCGTATTGTGATAACTTAGGGAAAAACAAGGCAACCCCACGTGAAATTTGGGGAAACTTCTGAAAACTAAATTTCAATAATAACTCGGGGGGTTAACATCTATACAGAAAAATGCCTATAAAAAGCAAATTGAAGTAAGAAGTTTTTGAAATCAATATTTTTCATACAATTATTATGGAAAAAATGCAAAATAAAAAACAATTTTCAAATCGATTTTTTTTTCGAAGATTATCCTAAATTGGTTTAAAATTCAGATAAATAAAACTTTGTGGCAGTGTTTGATACATGTGAGCCATCAAAAAGAAACTTTCGTTTAAAAAAATTAGCTCATCATACAATTTTAATATATGAGAAATTTGCGTCTTTTTGCGTAAGATTTGTGGGTTTTTGTATAAAAAATATATCGAGTCGAAAATTATATACCGAAATAAAAATGTTCTGAGCTCATCTAAACATTTTGAGCAAAATCAATTTTGTACGTAACTAATTTTTTTTGCTATACAGGCGGCGTTTGTCACAAAAAAAATCTAAGAACGACGAGCAAGTTTTTTTTCTGTTTTTTTAGCTCAGATAAAACCAATATCGGTAAAAAGTAGGCAACTTTTTCAAACTGGTATTTTTTCGAAGCAGAAATTTTCTAGCTAGAAACAAAAAATCTCTGTGAAATTTTTATAATAATTTTATAGAAAATATCACCAAATGAAGTGTATTTGCGAAGGTAAATACTACACACAGGCTGCAATATCCATTGTTTCAAAGTCCTTGGAAGTTTGTTTTTGGACATAACACAAAATTACAAAACGAAACTCAAAATAAAAAACACAGAAAGAATTTTGTGCTTTTATAGAAAAAGTACTTATCATGTTATAGCATAGCTTTAAAAGTTTGCCATGCAGTTTCGTTGTATGAAAAAAAATACATAGTGTTCGAGCCCGTTGCTGTGCATGCAGCACACAATTTTTCAACAGTATTCTTTAAAAAAAAATTTTGAATTGAATGATGTTTTTTGGACGAAAGCCTAAAACTTAAGCTTTAGGGAATGATATTCTTTGTAAAACTGGTAAATTTGAAAACAATTTTTGTCAAAAAAACCAAAAAACAAAAAGATATTATGAAAAAACGTTTTGAGAATTTTTTTGTATCCCATAATGGCACTGAAAATTTCAAAAACTAATTGATGTAGAACAAATGTAGAACAAATTTTCAAGGCTTCAAAAAAGTTAGTTTTCCTCATTAAAAAAAATTAATACGCCTGCTCACTCGCTTAATTTGCTCGAAATTAGACTAAAAATCAAGAGCCCCAAGCCGGCTTTTCTCGGTACTGAGAAAATATTTCGATTTTTTAGTGTAGTGCCAATAAAAAAGATTTGTATCTTGAATTACTCAATCCTGTCTAATTTTTATTTGTGTTACCTAATTTTTTATGGAAAACAAAAAAAACGAAAAAAAAAAATTAAAAAACCTAAAACACACCCGAATACAAAGTTCCTTCTCTTTATCAGTTGCCGGAACAAAAAGTTTTGCGTATACCTTTTTATACAATTTTTGTGATAAAAATTTTGTGATTTAGTTTTAGATTGACGGAAAATGCTAATTATAAAGCTTCATGGAACAAGGAAAAAAATTTTTTGCTATTTTCATACAATGTACCTTTTCTTCTACCAAACTGTATGAAATTTGTTTCGTAATTTAAAAATTTATGGCAATCATTTTGAATAAATCCGGGTAGATTTAAGCACAAATTAGCGCTTGATTCATTTCAGGTGATGCCAGATGAGCTGTGGCGAGCTGAATCGCAGCCAGGAGACCAGACTGATGAGAGAGACGAACAGTGCGTAGCCCAGAGCTACCCGGGAAACCCGAATCATTTGGGTCTAGACGACTTCGCTTGTTCAAGATATGAATTGCACAATGCTCTTTGCGAAGTCAAGGTGGGGCCAGCTCCAGCTTAATGAAGAACTACGAAATTTTTGAGATTTATCTCGGATTGCATTCAAATCATCCGAAACTGGAAATATGACCATTTAGAAACTCTGGTGTTGTTGGTACACATCTTCTAATGCTCGAAATATCTCATTAATGGCATTGTAATTAATTTAAAATCAAATTAAAGCTCAGAAGGATTGGAAAAAATTTGAAAACAATGAAAAACTTTGCTTCTGAAAAACAGCACAAATTAGAAATTTTACAGGAATAGACAAAAATCAGTACCTTGTAAAAAGTTTTAAGGCAAGATAGGTGGTTCGTCTGGTGAAACTATTTGAATTTCCAAAAAAAACTCCTCAAACACAATCCTCAGAATAGTCATTAAACAACTCATGAAGCAACGGTTGGCAAAATTAGCACCAAAAACTGCATAAAACGAACACTAACAAGGAATTTAAAAATATTTTAGAAAACTTTTTCAGAAAAAAAATTAAAATTTTTGTCTTTATCACTAGTAGTGAATGATTTGCTTTCAATATTTCCACTCTTACTTTTTATGACTGTAGGTTAGGCTTGCTGTTCAACAAGCAAGATAATGATTCTTAAAAATATTGTTGTTTTCCAAATTCTTAGCTCTGATCGTTTAACAAAGCCTAAATTTTTTCTCATCATTCAATCTCATTAGAGCTAACTCATCAATAAAAAAACAACTACAAAATCATATTTATTTATAGAACTTTGAAGAGGTTTAGTGCATCAAACTTACAAATTTTCATTGTTAGGGATACGAAGTGTTTTTAATGGACTGGATTGTTTCGCATTTTGCAAGAACAGCTTTTTGAAATGCTTAAATGATGCAAATACTATTTGATAGCTTAAATTGGATCAAAATTTAGAATTCCTAAGCAAACTAATCAAGCGATGGAACATTCAGTTGTTTCAGCTTTATGTATAGCAGGCTTCGTTTTGCAATAGTTTTTCCATGCAAGTTATCTATTCAAAAAAATTTGAAACTTGTCATGTCTTACAGCAATTTCAAACTAAAAATTTTGTATTGGTTCAAACTGGAGTAATTAACAGAAAGTTCAATATTTTAAAACCAAAATTTGTGAGTTTAGGAGATTGAAGTAGTTCAGATTGATTCATTGCGTAAAATATTTCAAAGAAAAAGGAAGATTTCTTAAATAAATTATTCGAAAGAGTAAATTTTCAGGTGTTTCAGGTCGTACTGATAATTTGAAAAAAGTAACAAAACTTTTCTAATATCAAGCAATTCAAGCGTTGAAACCTTGAAACAATTGAAAATTATTTTATAATTAATCAATTTGATGTAAGTTGAAGTTTGTTCCGAGCAAACTTTTCAATTAAGAAAGTATTGAAAAAAACTCACTTCAATTTCTCAGCTATAATTCATTCGCAAGCTACCTCAATGTTTCGCAAATTGATTTTAGAAAAACAAAAAAACTCCAGGCAATTCCTACTTAAAACATTTTAGAATGGTTCAAAAATTTCATCGAAAGATGTCTTACTTTACGGTTGCCCCCTTTAAAAAATATTCCGTTTCTCCAAGAAAGGCCGTAATCGTTTCGTTTCATTAATAGATTGGTGTCTACTTACATCACATACCGTCTAACACAAGTCTGTTTTGTTGAACCGATATTAATTTTCACTCCATAACCTTGCTTCAGGGTTGAAAAATGGCTACCCCAAAGTCAGGGAGGAGGCCAGTTTTTGCTGTCTCAAGTAGAAACGTTGTCTAAAAACTCCTTCGGCTCACTTATTCTGAGGCCCTTTGTTGAGGAACAAAATATAGTAGTAAGGCCTTCAGATACAGATAGTCAAATCGCTTATTCGAGCCCTTGAAAAATCAAATATAGATTGCGAGGACGAGCTCTCACTTGACCTCTAGCTTCAGAAACAGCAAAACTCCGTTAAAACAGCAAAACCGATTTCAGCTGCAATTATTGTACCACTTGAAAGCTCCAGACGAAGCAAAACTGCTTTGTTCCGCACAAAATAGTTTCTTATATAAAATAAATCTGGAATGTAGGAAAATTATAAACCGACTATGCTTAGATAGAAGTGATAGCCTATTGTAGATCCTCTGTGAATCGCAGAAACATTCATTTTTATTTTCATTATGATTGTTATTATTATGATTATTTTTATTATTCATTCCTAGAAGAGAGCGTGCTATTTTTATTCGAAACATTCCAGAATGCTATAAAAAAAACGCATTGTTAGCCTGATATTCAACAAGTCGTCAAAGATTGGCAGATTTTTGTTGTGTTTTAGTTTTTTAGAGTTTTGGGAAACTTAGAGAGCCAATTTAATGATAGTGAAAACCCGCCCTAATGAGTTAGGACCGATGTGGTTAACTCATAGAGTAATTTCGGATAGGGTACACCGTCTGCTCGTCACGCTATCTTATTTTCGGCCGGATAGATTCGTGCAACTTCTTAGTCTAATACCGATCCTAATCTTACTCTTATACTTATCTAGTCTCAGGTTGTTTAACTAGTCTCTGCTAGGCTCAATAGATCTAGGGTATACTGGTTTAATGCGGCTGCTGAAGTTCTCGGGAGAGTCCAACTAATTTCTAAGTTAAATTCAAATCTCTCTGGTGCTGAAATTACAAGTAATTTCAGCACTTACAAATAAGTGGATTGTTAGTCAGATGGATCATGATTGGTTAATATTAAATACTTTACATTGGTAAAATATCTAATTTATCCAATCATAAAATGTAGTTTAGATCAGGTTCCACCCATCCGGGTTTTACAGAGTTTTTTAGAATAGTTTTTCTGCAATTTGAAGGATGGATGATGGACGTTGGTATTTGGCGAACATCATATTTCTTTTCCGGTTTCCCTTGTTAGAGAAGTTCCAGGACGCTGGAATTAGGGACATCAAACGTTGTGTCTTCTTGTGACAACGACTGTGTTTCCGCAACAAACTCAAATCTGATTTCAGAATGGTTGGCTATGTCAGGTTTTTCTGTTTCATGTAGAGAACTTCTTGTGTTTGACCTTGTCTGGGAATGGCGTGGAGATTGTGCATGGAGGGGATGCCTGGTTACTCGGATCTGTGCGTATACTTGAACATCGAGGTGGTCATTGGTCTAGTTCAATGAAGTCCTTTTCTGCGAAGTCAAGTCGTACTCTAAATCCTTTGAGTTGTGTTTGTGAGCGGCATATCGATTGTGGTTGGCCATTCTTTTTCGAGTGTAGTGGGGTCGTTTTGTCTTTGGATGTTTGTCCTTGGTGTTGTATGCTGATCTATATATTGTATAATATAATTTACATTTTATAAAACTTTTATTAGTTTAATGTTTTTTAATTATGATTTTGGTTAGTTGTTTTCACAAAAGCTTTTTGTTTTAGTTCAGTTATTTTGAAGAGTTACTCACCCTTGAGTAGCTCTTATTAAAAATAGGAATGTGGGCACAAAGCGTGGATGTAGCACGGTGGGTTAGGCCGGCTATAGAGCATGCTCAGGACGTCCTCTTCTGGTGGGTTAGGCCAGGAGTGGGAGTATGATTGCATGCGGTGTTTGTGAGAGGTCCTGTTATGTGATAACGTTTTATGTTGGGTTTGTTGTGGTTTTTCTTATGTTTTGTTGGTTGTGTCCTTATTTCAAAAATCAAATTGTTTGTGTTATGGGTTTGTCTTTCGACTTTTTTGTGTTTTATTATTTCTTTCTTAGACTTTATAATAGTCTTCAAAAGAATAAATTATCCAGTTTTAAACTGGGTTAATCCGGTTTGGGTACCGTTGGTTTCCTTTTCTTAGTCATGCTGTTATTCTATGATTTGTGGTGTTTAGTAAGCTGTGTTGGTTAGTGTTGTTTAGTATATAATTCCTTTCCAACCGGGTTAAAGGAAAGTTTGAAACGTGTTATCTTGTGTTAGAGTTGTTGAGTGTGAAAGCTTGAAACTGAAATTCATTATTTTAAACAATTCTTCGTGGGCGAGCTGTGCGAGTGTGGATAGAATTTTTGTGCGAATGAATGGAAATATCAAAAGGTTAGTACTGCATTTTCGTTTTATCAATTTATTACATAGAAATTCAAATTTACTGCTAGTTGTTGGGGATAATTAAGTTACAAATTTTCATCATTATTAGATTTACTGCTTGTGGGGAAAAAATTTATAAATTAAATTACTGCATTGGTATTATTTTTATTTAATTGTTTGGTGCAAAAAATTAATAGAGTTTTAAACAGTTTGAAGAAGTTTTCTATTTTTTATTTTTCTTTTGTGAGTTTTTCAGATGATCGTTGGATGAAGGCTAAAATTCTAAAGAAGACATGGATAAAGAATGGTTACTTTCTAATTTTAATTTAATTAGTTAATAATATGTATAATTCATACTTACCTGTTAGTCGTCGGGAAGAAACCGTGGGGAAAGATGTCGTGGATGAGGTCGGAAGTTGTTAGTAATTTTGCTAAGATGCGGATGATATTTTTAGGTTGAAGCAGTGTCCAAAGCAATTGAAGTGCTTTAATGGTTGTTAGTTCTTCTGTGCCAACTGCAAACTCATAAGGTGTGTTTTGGATGAGATTATATAATTTGTGATTGAATTTAGTGTTGTGGATGAATTCTAATATCGGGATTTCTATAGGTTGAACAAATTCGTGTGGGATAAGGAAGGGTCGGGATTCTTCTGCGTTGAAGGTCTTCGTGATGGGACAAAAAATATACATTTGGGTTATGGGGTCGTAATTTCGAAGAATACCATGAAGGTTAGTATCTTTAATGCAATATGTGAAGTTAAGAAAGAATGGTGAGGTGTATTTGGAATTGATGAATTGAAAACGGTGGTGTGGTTGTCTGGAGGGAGTAAGTAGGTCGAAGTGATTTTGTATAAAACGATAATATGTATATGTGTGAGTTTGTTTAGTGCGTAACATAACATCGTGTGAGCAGTGCAAATCTCGTTCATGTGGTGCAAGGAAATGAAAGGTTAGTGAAAATAATTGAAAGCGTTCTTTAAAACTTTCGTAGGCTTGTGTGTCTGTTAGTGCTTCTGAAATGATGTGGTCAAATTTGCGATCAAAGATATTGAGTGTAAATACATATGGTGTTTTAATGAAAATTTTTTCTGTGATTTGTGGGTTAGCGAAGCGATCATCGTCTAAAAATTGATCTTGGTTTGTTCGGATGATGTTATGATCATAATATTCTAGCGTA